GGCTCATCAGAAACTCAAAAGAATGTAACCATTTGTCTCTCATCTACCTGTGACCTGGAAGACCCCTCCTCACTTCCAGTTGTCCTGCACCTACCTTGAGGTGTCCCATCTTTCCGGACTGAACCAATGTACATCTCACACACATTGATTGATGTCTCATGTCTCCCTAACATGTATAAAACCACCACATTCTAGCCTCAACATTTGCTGGTTTCAGAAAAAAATGAAATCTTTACCCTAGTGTCTAATAAAAAAGAAGTTAAAACATAGGCACCTATTTAAAATGTCAAAACTGAAAATGCAGAGGGGTTATCTGGATCTGAACTGGTGTCTCATTAACCTGCAGTCCAGTACTCTACCCCTGAGCCATATCCCATCCTACTAGTGTGTGGGTTAATTAATGTCTTTGACTTGTACCGTCACACCCAGATTACCTGTAACCTATGAGTTGCCACTTCACAATGGAAGCTCCTAGGAGCTGCCAGACCCACCTGAGTGAAAACTCACTGACCTTGTGCATAACAAGAGGCAGTCCCCCTCCTCAAATACCCCAGAGCCTGTGTCTTCCCTGCCTTGAGTCCTTGGTTGGGGGCAGCAGCCTGGAAAAGCACTGCCACTGGCTACTAGAATGGCCTTCAGAGTCAACATCCAGTGCCTGTCATGGTGGGCACATACAAGAGAAACTGTGTGACTGAGGTGTCTGTTCTAACACACTAATAACAGAGTTGGGCTGGCTCTCCTAGCCGAGTACTCCATTCAGGGCATTTTCAACAGAACTATAATCTAGGACAAAAGATGATTCTTCCAACTTCCACCTCTTCAGTTAATATCCATGGAGAATGATGGAGAAGGAATGACTCCAAGAAATAGTGAGATTTGGGTAGCTGAGTAGATTTTGGAATCCCCAAAAGCCTTAAAAGGGCCAATGTTAACCTAGTTTTAAGGACCAAAATATGTTGCTAGAGAACAATGCCACTTGACTCTTTCATTTTTTTTTTTTTTTTTAAAAACAACAGGGTATTGTACTGTTACCCAGGCTGGAGTGCAGTGAAACAATCATAGCTCACTGCAGCCTTCAACTCCTGGGCTCAAGCAATCCTCCTGCCTCAGCCTCCCAACTAACTAGGACCACAGGTGTGTGCTACCATGCCCAGCTAATATATTTTATTTTATTGTATTGTAGAGAAGACATCTCCTTTTTTTTTTTTTTTTAAAGATGGAGTTTCACCATGATGGCCAGGCTGGTCTTGAACTCCTGACCTCAGGTGATCCACCCACCTTGGCCTCCCAAAGTGCTAGGATTAGAGGCTTGAGCCATCATGCCCGCCCCCCCCAAAAAAAAATGTACTTCTTTTTTTTATAAAGATGGGGTTTCACCACGATGGCCAGGCTGGTCTTGAACTCCTGACCTCAGGTGATCCACCCACCTCGGCCTCCCAAAGTCCTAGGATTACAGGCATGAGCCACCGCGCCCGGCAAGACATCTCACTATGTTGCCCAGGCTGGTCTCAAACTCCTACCCTCAAACAATCCTCCTGCCTTGGCCTCTCAAAGTGCTGGGATGACAGGCATGAGCCACTGTGTCCAGCCTTCCGCGTGACCTCTTGTGATGGCAGACAGAGCCCTGTCCCATCTAGAAGGAACACTTGGAGTAACACTTGGGTTAGCTCCTTTTCATTTCCTTAGCTTTACCAAGGCCCACCTCTGCTCTTGTCACAGGGGCTTGTAAACTGTCCCTTCTGCGAACTGCTTTTCCCTCCTACTGGAATTTTCTCCTTTACCCACAGGCCTTTGCCTTGTAGCCCTGGCAGCCTACTCAGAAGGCAGCCATCAGCCAGCCAGTCCTCTCCACTCCTGGTCCGAGGGCCTGGGAAAACCCTGATCTTCACAGTGATTTCTATGATGATGTTGAATTCCTTCAAGGAACACAGATGGTCCCTTAAGTCCAGACTGCACTTTGCCCCACTGCTCATGTCCTTCAGGACACACCATGTAAGCCCTAGTTCCCTAGGAGCCATATTGCCATGGATGTAACATCTCTGTCTCCTCAAACAGGAATAAGGCCCCTTTTCCAAGGCAATCCTGGAGTAGCACTTCCAGGCAACATGGCAGGGACTGACCAACATGTTGTCTTTGAGGAAGGTGACCCTTAATCCTCTTAAGCTTCTAAGACTACTTCCCCCTTGACTTCTACATTGCATTTCAATAGGAGACGTAAAGCCTACCAGAGTGGGTGCCACCCTTAATCGCCCTCCTATAGATGGCACGCATACTATGGATAAATCTTTTGGGAAGGCATTGTTTTTGCTTAAACACAATCAAACCCCCACCTAGTCACATACTCTATGCTTACTTCATGGATCAAGACCCTTTCACATATAATTTCTAGGACTGTAAGCCTTCAAAAGGGCAAGGATTTTCTTTGTCAGGGAGCTCTGTTGTTAAGGTATTTTCACCTGCTGCAGCTCTCGGCCAAATAAATCTCCATTTGCTTCCCTGTTCCCTGTTCAAGAGGTCTGTTTGCAGCTGATCCGTCTTCAGTCTTGATAACAGAAGTAAATTATCATGCAGAGTGACCCGCAAAAAGGCCACAGTGATAGAGGAAGCAGTGGTCTTCTACAGGGTCCCTATCAAGTGATGAAAGGAAGGCTGGACTCAGGGACATATGCAGAATGATCTAGTCCAATCTCCTCATTTTACATATGAAGCAAGTGCTGACTGACTTGCCCAAGGATCTCCACCGGTTAATGACAGAACTGACAGGTCTCCTGACTCCCAGTTCCCCCCACAATATCCCTGGTCCTCATGTTCCAGCCTAGACAAGGCTTGAGTGTGTTCTGATGTCCCTCTGACTTTTTCTTTTTTTTAAATCCAGAACATTACAATGAAGCTAAGGAAGCTCAGAGTGCCCCTCCCGCCCTGCACCAGCTCTATGCCTCCTCCTAAATTTGTAATTTTGCTGAGGAAGGACACCCAGACATCTGGGATCAACTCCCCCTTGACTTCCACACTGCATTCCGATAGAAGAAAAGGCTGGCCACTGGCACCTCCTGAATCACCTTCCTGTAAATAGCAAGCTTGGTATTAGGGAAACTCTCTGGAAGACACTGTTTTTACTTAAACAAGATCAAACCCCCACCCCACTCCTCCATCAGGAGACCAGAACCTTTTCACGTGCGATTCCTAAAGCTGTAAATCCAAAACCCATTTTCTAAGGCTGTAAACGTAAGATTCTTTCATGTGTAATATCTAGAGTGTAAGCCTATATAAAGGCAGCCTCTCTTTGTTAGACGAGCTGGGTTTAGACAAATCATCGCCCGGCTCCTGGCAGTAATAATAATAATAATAAACCCCTTCCTTCCCGTTAGGTGTCCGGGAGCTTTGTTTCTCGCAGCCGCTCCTGCCACATTGAGGGGCTTCTTCTTAACCATGTTCTCCCAGATTACACAAGCTTCAGACCCATAAAACATGGATCCACCTTCATCAGCGGAGATGTGTTTCTCACGGGGGAAGGAATCATGTGGAAGAGCTGAAGGGAAAAAACAGGAAAACCCTGGGGCAGGTGTCCTACAGCTCATGGAGTGAGTAGGGTGATTTTACCCTTTGCGGGATTTACTCCAAAAGACAAAATGATGCCAGGGGCTCCAGAAAGGAAATCTCTGAACCCCGTCATTTGAGGGGCAATCGGTGAGAGATGTGAGGCATCAGAAAACAGCTAGGTTTTGTCTGTGACCAGAAGAAGAAAGTCGGATGCAGGAACATTGGCACCACGGTGAGTCAGGTCTTCCCCCACGTGACTGTTGGGGCAATTCCATTTTTATACACAAACAAGCATGCAACCCGGATGATGCCCGAGATGTATGTTCAGCCCACGCTGATGAAGAGAAACTAAGAGACAATGTTCGGATCCCGGTCCCTAGGCCCGGCAAATCCCGTAGACTCCGCACCAGGTGGCGCAGGTTCTCGCGCTGGAAAGAGCCTCACTCAGCCCAGGAGTCTGAAAAGCAATGCGCCTCTGTAACCACGTGGGAGCCCCCGTCCAAGGCGCTCTCCATCCCCAGTCTCTTAAGGACTTTTAAATTTTTATTTTTCTCTCCTTGTTTAAAAATACTATCCTTGTTATTGAAAAATTAAAACATAACTTAGAAAATGCATAAAAACGGCCTGTGGTCTATTAAACTATTTTGTCCATGTTGATATATGTATGCTTCCAAACTTTCAAAACTATAGATATGCATGTACACAGTACATAATGCTACATGATGTCATAATTTTAAAACAATGACAGGATCGTTCTGGACAGGCTTTTTCTCTTAAAATATCGTGAACATCTGTCCATACCAAGTTCTTCCCCAAAATAATGTTCAGTAGTGGTATTGCGTTCCACTGTTCATGCCATTAAAAATATTTACTCTAATAAATACATGGTAGAAAATGCTACATGGTGTCTACCGGGTTTACCGAATATATTCCTTCCTATTGTTGGAAATATTCCATTTCAAACACAGATGGGGTGAGCTACAGCTGACCCCCACAACAAAGAGCCCGAAACTCCAGGCCCAGGACCTCCGGCGGCAGAAGTGCTTGTTCGGGCGCACCGGGACCCAGCGGGACCAGGGAGCGGTCCCCTTGCCGCGGTCACCCCCGGGGGCGCCCTGCCCGGAGGCCTCTGCTCGCCCGTGGACGCGGCCAGGCGGGTCCCATGAGGGGGACTCTTTTGGTAACCAAGTCACTCGGCTTGGGTCGCGGGGCCAACGCAGTGACTGTGAGCGGGAACCCGGCAGTCGGGGAGGGGGCGAGGGGTCGGCCGGGGGTCGCGGGTTCGGCTCCTGGTAGCGGGCAGGCTCCGTGCCTGCCGTTCGCCTCCTGTGCTGCAGGTGGGGCTGTGTGGCTGCGCTGCCTCCAGGAAACCGCACGTGCCTTCGTCTGCAGGCCCGGGCGCCGGCTCCCAGCATGCAGTGTGGACCCGCCGGGCGCTGAAGGCGTCGGCGCGACTGCGAGCGGCGCGGGGCAGTTGCTGCCAGGGAGGAGCGGCGGCGGAGGCAGGGCGGGGCGGTCGCCGCCTGTGGAGAGCACGGGGAGGTCGGGCCTGGGGCCGCACACGGCGGCGGCGGGGCTGCGGCTCAGGTAAGGGCGACCTGGGCGCGGCTTGGGGGCCCGGGGCGGCCTGGCAGTAATACCGCCCTTGGGGCTCCGGGGAACGGGGTGCGGGGGCCGCCGGGGGACCTACTGCTCTTGCCAGCCGGGCCCCCCAACTCCAGGCCGAGCCCGAGCGCCGGCAGAACGGTTGTCCCCGCGCCGGGGCCACCCCACGCCAAGTGGTGGGCTGCAGGGGAAGGAGCGTCAGGGGGCGCCTGGTACCGCTGCTCACCCCTCCTGGCGTGATGCTCTGCGCCTCTGATTTGAGCCGGGCTTTTAGAGGAGGCTAGGATTTCATGAGGTTGAGCTAGACCGGTGGAGCTTACAGGGAGGGAGGATTGCCTGGGCAAAGGGGCAGAGAGACGGAACAGAGCAGGGCGTGTTCAGGTGAAGAGGGAAATTAAACAATAATAATAGCTGTAATTGCTGCATAATAAAGTTTACTGTGCTGTATTCGATATAAAATCTAACCCCTAGCTCTGCCGGAAATTAACTCCCTGTAAAACCTACCTTATCTATTCTCCCCACATTCTCAGCAAAGTTCCCAGGCACCTCAAGACTCCTGTTTTTCTTGCTGACCAGCTGCAAGGTCACAGGGCAAGATAACACCCAAAGAATGTACATTGTGTTTCTCAAAATGCTATTTTCAAATGTAACATACATCACAAGACATGTTACAGATTAATTAACTGTTCTTTGTTCTGGCTTCTGTAAACCTGTTAACTGCTAAGTCATCTTACATGTCTAAAAAAGTCAAGCCCTGTCTTTGTTAGGCGCTCAGCCTTGGGATGCTAATCCGCTGAGCCTGTGGCTACCTTAATAAAATCCTCCTGTTTCATCTATTGGTCTGTCCAGTCTCCTGAATATTCTGCAACACAGGAACAGAATGGAGTCCCATGAGCCTGGAGAAGATGCTTTTGGTTTGGAGGCAGTGGGAGAGGTGGCTGTGGAGACTGGGAAGGGGCCTGCATGCCGGGACTTGATCCTGCGGGTGGGCAGCGGGTGAGGGATCTGGCTCCTCTTACCATCAGCTTCTCTCAAGCAAAGGGTTTGGGCTCTCCTGGCAGGAGTCTAAGGACAGCCCCACATATTCCAGCCACCAGTCAGTAAGAAGCTGGACTGGAATGGGCAACGCACAGTCGCCACCTCCCACCACATAGTGTGAAGGCCTCACACAGGGCTTCCTGGCCCCATCACAGTTGTAAGAAAACCGTGCATCCTGTTGTCCATGTGTAAAAGATGAATATTTTCCTGATAAAGTAGTTTATGCAGAGGTTCCTTTCATGCCACACAAAGACTGTAATAATGCACTTGGAGGATGGGTAGGATTTCAGTGGATGGGGAGCTGGTGACCAGGTGCAAGGATGCTTCTGGAGTAAACTCTTGGAGTCTGGGATCACTTGACAGGGATTGATCTGAGAAAGGAGAGGCGAGGGAAGGAACAGTGGCCTTAGGTGGAGGGCAGACTCAAGCCCAGAACCAAGTCAGCCCACCCAGGTGCCTGTGGGACCTACTCTTTGAGAGCAAGACCCCCACCCACATCTGGGTTTTTGCCTAGAAACAGTTCTGCCTGTCCAGACCTCCTAGCCTTGAAGACCCCTTAGAGTCCTACCTTCTTGCTTTGGATCCTGCTTCCTTCCAAACAGCCAGACAGGCTTTTGACCACTGTCCTGGACAAGTTTTTTTGGGCCTCTGCTGAAATTCATTTTGTCTCTGTTTTTTGAGGTATCCGTTTACATTCCAGTTCTCAGTGACTTTCTCTAAGTGAATCCATACTGGTTTCTAGTAGCCACGTCTTCATTTTGCGAATAGTCACCAATCTCCACTTGAGGGATTATTTTGCAGAACGTCCTAAGGAGGCGTCAATCTTTGGACATGGATACCGGGAGCTCCTCTCTACCCTGTAGGTCTCACCTTCAGATATGGGTGGCTCAAGTAGTCTAGCTTGCCACCTTAGGCAAAATGTGCCTATTCTTCCTTGTCACCAGCTGCCGGTCACTAATATGCCATGTGAATGTTTCCCATGACAGGGAAGCCCCTTGTCTCTAATTAAGATGGTTATTGCCCATATGTAAGTGTAACTTTGTGACATATGTCAATTTTTCTCACCAGACTGTAGGGCATGTTACTGCCCCTGGGGCGGCTACGAACATGTCTGAGGCCATCGTTTTAACCTTGAGAGGTGTGGGAAGTGGGAAAGAGAAAGAATCTTGTGGGGCTCATGCAGTGTCAAAAAACCTAACTGGCCAATGGAGGTTTGCAGTCATGGGGATTTTATCTTGTGGGGGAGAGGCAGATGGGAAGGGGACAAAATGAGACTGTCCTGGGGGAAGAGGAACTGGCCATTAGATTTTTATGTTTATTAACAGAGGACATGAAATGCTTTAAAAAAAAATATTGAGCAATACTCTTCTTTGTGCAGTTTCAGTGAACCAGCTGTTTTTTTTTTTTTGCTGGGTCATCAGTAGTCAGTTCCTGTGTAATGAAGACAGGAGGGTCAGGCTGGGCTCTAGTAAATCTGCAGTTTACCATTTCTCCACTAAAATGCTGAGCAATGCTAAGTCACTGTTTACATAGCAAGATTGCACTGGGTACCCACCATGTGTCAAGGACTGTGGTGTGAAAAGATGCAATACCATGCTCAGGGAGCCCACAGTGTAGGTGTGGGGTGGAAATTACTGTGTAGGGTGGTAAGCGCCATGATAAAGGTCTGCATTGTGCTGCAGAGGCCTGGAGCAAGGGCACCCACCCAGACATAGCCCTAAGATACCCAAGCAGTGATTGCCAACTTGAGATCTGGCATGTGGTACGGGATGGCCCCACTTGTTCATACATATGGGCTCCCAGCCCAGCTCCCCTGTGCTTAGGGAGAGAGGGGATCAATGAAGACAGTGGGTGGAATGAATGATGCTGTTTCTCTTCTGTTTCTGAAAGATTTCTCCGTGGACAATGGCAGCCACGATTCAGGCCATGGAGAGGAAGATTGAATCGCAGGCTGCTCGCCTGCTTTCCTTAGAAGGTCGAACCGGGATGGCTGAGAAGAAGCTGGCCAACAGCGAGAAAACAGCTGTGGAGTTCGGGAACCAGCTGAGGGCAAGGCCGTGTGGGAGCAGGAGCTGCTGCAGAGGCAGCTGGAGCCCAGCAGGAACTTCTGGATCCTGCGACTGCCCTCGGGCAACAAGGGGGAGGCCCCCAAGGTAGCCCTGGGACGCCCTGGGGTGTGGGAGCCTGAGGGGCTGAGCCTGTGAGCGTGTGGGTGAATGAGTGCGACACTTGTGGTTCCAGGTGCCCGTGACCTTTGATGATGTGGCCGTGTATTTTTCCGAGCAGGAGTGGGGCAAGCTGGAGGACTGGCAGAAGGAGCTCTACAAGCATGTGATGAGGGGCAACTACGAGACGCTGGTCTCCCTGGGTAAGGCCTGACACTCATTTCTCTGTTAAATGGGATTTTGCAAGTCCTCAAACTTCTCTGTCCACATAGTTGTTTCATGGCAGTGAAATGTGAATCACCAGAAACGTTGTTGACCTTGCAAGTTGTTACCTCCTGTGAAAGATGAGCCCTGGGTGATGGAATCAAAAGCTCCCCTCTGTGTTGAGTTTCCCAGAATGCCAGGCTGGGAAAGGCGGTGGCATCTCTTCTCCGCAGGCGCAGGGTGTGGACCTTTCTGTTGGTGCTGACTTGGAGCAGGGAAGGCCCCTCCTGCTCTCAGATCCAGTATGTAATCCACTCACATTTGAGAAAGACTCTTTCTTTCAGCCTTCTACAGAGATGCGTGGCCCTTACGGCGACATGCCTCGAGGTCAGTGGAGAACATGGGCAGACGGTGCTGCTTGCAGCAGACATTTTCTTCATGCCTCAAAACTCTGCTTTCCTCAACCCCTGGGGCTACTGCTGCTCTCCTCATTTGATCCTGCCCAGGAAGGGCCTGGACTCTGTTTCTTCCTGGGCTGATTTCCTCTTCCTGATGGTTTCTGTGTGACCCTGGAGCTGAGGGCAGTGAGACCTGATAGAGAGGACGGGAGCAGGTGCAGTCGTGAGGTGACATTTCATCAGCACAAGTGTGCTGATGTTTCACATGCACGCTCTGTGGCAGTTTCTTCACTCTGGCACTGCTGACATTTGGGACCCGGTGATTCTGTGTCGGGGCCATCCTCTGCATTGTAGGATGTTCAACAGCAGCCCTGGCCTCTACCTCCCAGATGCCAGTCACCTCTCCCCAAGCCCTGGGCACAGCAATCAGAATTGTGTCCAGACTTTGCCAAACGTCCCCTGGGAGCAAAACTGCCTGTGTCTGAGAGCTCCTGCTCTATGACAATCAAGAGATTTCCTTTCTAGACCATTGTTGGTTTTCTGGGCTGACTCTCTCCAGCTCTGACTGGAACGAGGCAAAAACTAACCTTCTGTCTTTCTTCAGACTACGCCATCTCCAAGCCTGAGGTCCTCTCCCAGATTGAACAAGGGAAGGAGCCCTGCAGCTGGCACCGCCCCGGCCCCAAGATTCCAGATGTTCCTGTGGACCCCAGTCCAGGTAAGGGCTGGGAGAAGGCTAGGGAGGCATCAGGTGATCTGCGGGAGGCAGACGGAAAGGCCAGGAATGGTGTGATCTTTCCAGAGAGAGCTGAGGAAACACATCAAACTTACTTGTTTTTAGTCTGAGTTTTTTTATAGTGGAGTTTTAACCTCTGACTTACTCAGCTAATGCTCCAGAAATGAACACTTTCTGTCAGGGAAACAGGTGGCAAACCTACTCTTTTAGGAAGAGACAAAGCCAGGGCACAGATGATGGGAGGGAGAGGAGGACACTGAGAGGGAAGGCAGGAGAATAGTTGACTTGAACAACACGGGCCAGGGGCGACAGACCCCAATCACACACAGCCCAAGGTCTATGTCTAACTTTTGACTCACCAGAAAGTTAACTGCTAATAGTCTCCTGTTGACCAGAAGCCTTAATGATACTATGTATAGTCAATAACACATATTTTATATGTCCTAGTTACTATGTATTGTATACTTTAAATAAGCTACAGAGAAAATATTAGGAAAATAAGGAAAAGGAAATATATTTACTACTCATTAAGTGGAGGTGGGTCATGATAACGTCATCATCCTCAGCATCATCTTCAGACTGAGTAGGCTGAGGAGGGAGAGGAGGGGTTGTTCTTGCTGTCTCAGGGGTGGCAGAGGAGAAGGAAATTCACTTATCAGTGGGCCTGCATAGTTCAAAACCATGTTTTTCAAGGGTCAGCTGTGTATTGAAACCAAGATTAATTCAAAGCTTTGCAGAGAGTCAGCCTTGCCTCTGAGAACCAATCTTAATTAATTGATGAATTAATGTATTTATTTTTATTTGAGATGAAGTCTCCCTCTGTCACCCAGGCTGGAGTGCAGTGGTGCTGTCTTGGTTCACTGTGATCTCTGTCTCCTGGGTTTAAGCAATTCTTTTGCCTCAGCTTCCCAGGTAGCTGGGATTACTGGTACCTGCCATCATGCCCAGCTAATTTTTGTAGTTTTTTAGACTCAGGGTTTCACCATGTTGGCCAGGCTCGTCTTGAACTCCTAATCTTAGGCCAGCTGTCCGCCTCAGCCACCCAAAGTGCTGGGATTACAGGTATGAGCCACTGCGCCTGTCTTCACCCTGAATTTAAAGCAGTAGCAGTTGTAGAACATACACCCATTGGTCAGCCATATGGTTCGGTTGATTAGAAGCACACATTTATTTAAGGTGAATCTAGTTACCAGATATCAGTTTCTCAGATTTCCCTGGAGCTACTCAGCACCTTTGAAAGTTCGGAGAAAGACAGGTGGACACAGAGAAAAACGAAATTCCTAAAGTGAAGTGAAGACCTGCTGGGTCATTTGACCGGGGAGACCACACCTCTGGCAGGCTAGACCCCTGATTCCTCCAGAAGACCCGCCCTTGACCGTCGCACCTGCCTTGGTTTTCCCTTTCGTCTGACACTGTGAAAGGTGGTGTTATGCAGGGGCCCCCGGTGCTCCACTCGTGTGAAATTAAATGTGTCTTCCATGTTTGTCATCTCATCTCAATTAGATTGGCACTTTCCTAAGGGCAGAAGCATGTTCAGAGCTGGCCACTTTGCCAGTCGTCATCAGTTCATTCACAGTTTAGTTCCACAGATACATTTTGAGAATCTTCTAGGTGTCAAGGACAGTGCTGAGCACTAGAGGACAGAAAGATGGCTGAGAACAGATAGTGTCAGGCTGGAAAAGAGGGTTACAACCCAGGCGCGTCCAGCCTCCTAGCCTGGGTGGAAGGTTCTGAGTGGGTGGGTTTCGTTGTGTTTACACTGTGTGTGGAGGCTTCCCTCGCTTCCACGTCATCATTAAATGAGAGTAAAGAAGTCCCCTAAATTATGTTCGTTGCGGGTAAGACCCTGCCACACTCTGTCTGCATCGTACGATGTTCAGCAGCATCCGTGGCCTCTACCCACCAGTAGACAAAGTGAGTAGAGACAAACTCCACTGTGCACCTTGAGTCTGTCGGCAGGGATCCTGTGTGGCCCTTATCCCTGTCCTCTTTGTCCAAGAAACCAGGAATCACAGCTCATCCCTTGCCATGGTTGGCCTGGCCCATCCCCTTGTGAGACCTCACCTGCCCTTCTCACCTCCTGCATACCCCTCCTCTGAGCCTTATGGGACTCAGGGCTCAGCAGACCTGCCAGGTCCTGAGTGTTCCCTGCTCGGACTGAGCTCCAGGGAACTGTGGCCGTCCTCTTCCCCGCCTCCCTCAGCCCGGGCCTACTGGGGACAGGGTCCTCACCCCTCATGATTGCACCGCTGCCACCCTCACTCCCTCTCTAGAGACCATGCCTCTGGGTCTCATTTCTCGTATTTTTGCTGCCTCTGCAGACCTTCCCTCTCTTGTCATTCTTCCTGCTCTCAATCGTGGCCATGGCAGCCTCCATGCAGATAGTTCTGTGCCCCCTTCCCCTGCCCCATGGCCATCCATGACTCTGATGACAGCGACTGCACCCTCCTCCCCGACCCTCTCCATCTCCAGCACACCACTCCCCGGCTGCCTCCCATCACCCCTCCAGTTCCCTGTCTGGTGTCCTGATTCTAGCATTTTTCCAGCCCTTCAAGACCTGCAGGCCATCGATCTTGCTGCCTTTTCACTGCCTTGCTCATCATCTCCTTCCATGCCCACCATTGTATTCCCGGCTTGCACACAGCCTCAGTGCCCTTCCCTTCTGTTGTTCATTGCATCCACCTGGTGAAATCCATCAGTGCTCTGCACCTGCAGCCAAGCAGCTGCACGTGGCTGCAGAGAACCAGGCAAGCTGGCTGCTGGTGTCATGTGACATCCACAACCAGCAACTTCAGTGGGTGCTCTGCCACACAGTCACACTGCATCTCCCTAGCCCAGGGGCCGCCAAACTGTGGCTGAGGACCAAACCTAGCTTATCTGTTTCTGTATGGGGCACGCCCGAGAACAGTTTTATATTTTAACCCCCTTTTTTAAATTAAAGAGAAATACACCACTCACACAGCCCTCCCCATGCCATCTGCCTGCACCTGTGCGCCCTTCTCTGCCTTCACTCCTGTGACTGCTGAACTGTTGATTCTCCAGCCAAAGCTGTACTTCCACATGGCGCTGCATCCCAACCCATGCCACCTTCTCCAGAGCAACACAAGCAATCCTGCCTTGACCCCTACCCCTGCAGCCACTGCCCGCTTCTCCGCTCCCCTTTGTGCAAAGCCCCTCGGGAACATCTGCACTTCTCTCCTCTTCTCTCACGGCTTCCACCAAAACCTCTCCAACCTCAGTTACCAGGGCCCGCTATGGTGCTGAAAGGTCTGTTTTTCTTGGCCTGTTTGTAACACTTGCCGCGTTGCTCACTCTATTCCCACCTGCCACCCACCTTCACCGATCTTTCTTTGCTGGTTCCTATTGTCCTGTGGGGTCTGTTGGCCCCAGGGCGCCCTTGGTGCTCACACCCTTTCTCCACAACTTGTGTTTCCTCACACCCTCTCTCCGCTCCTGTGTTTTGTCCCCCAGGGTCTTGGGGCCACATGTACCATCTAGGAATGTGTGCCTCAAACCTGGACCTTTGCCCCAAATTCCTCATACCCAGCTGCCTGGCCTGCATCTCCACGTGAGTGTTTTATAGACTTACCCCTAAACATTCCCAGAGCTGAGCTCCTATCTTCCCTGAACAGACTGCTGCTCCCTCATTCTCCGCATCCCAGTAAATGGCAGCTCCATCCTTCTACTTGCAGGCAAAACCCCAGGAGTCCTCTCTGACCCCTCGTCCACATCCACATCCGCCCCACCAGAAACACTACTGGCCTTCCCTGCCAGGTTCTCCCAGAGTCTGTCCACGCCTCGTCCCCTCCTCTCTGACACCCAGGCCCATCGTCTGTTGCTGAGGTTGCCACGAGCCCCTCTGCTCCTGCCCTGATCCCCGCCTACCCACCAAGTCTCATCTTAGCCCAGCAGAGTGATTCTTTTTAGGCCCAAGTGCTGGCATTCCGTCTGACCCACACTGTCTGCTCCCCTCCTTCACTTTTCTCTCATTCTCTGCTCAGCTGCACCTTCCCCAGTGCTGTACACTCTGCCCTGTGCAGTGTCCTCTGCTGGGCGTGCTCCTCAGGCAGGTCCCACCTGCAGGCCTTTCCCATCACTGATACTGCAGCCTCTGCCAACCCCCAGGCCTCCTTTCTTCCAGGTCTTCCTGTCAGACAGCATCATGTAATGTATATGTTTCCTATTTATAGATTCATCGTATGTCAGGTCTCCCTCATTAGAATGTCAATTTCAAAAGTACAAAAATTTTTTATCCGTTTTCTTCATAAAATCATTCTTGGCATCTATAATACTGCCTAGCACAGAGTAGGAATTCAATAACTATTTGCTGAATGTATGCTGCGCTTCGTAATTTAAAACGTGTGTGTGTGTGTATGCGCGTGCATGCATGTGAAAGAACGTACTTTTGATAACATTTAAATCCCTTTTTAGGTCTCCCTAGGGCAACCACTTGTCCTGAATTGTCTATGTTTATTTTTTTCTATCCACATTTTTTTTTTTTTTTTTTTTTGACGTGTAGTCTCGCTCTGTCGCCCAGGCTGGAGTGCAGTGGTTGCGATCTTGGCTCACTCCCGGGTTCCTGTGATTCCCCTACCTCAGCCTCCTGAGTAGCTGGGACCTCAGGTGCATACCAGCATGCCTGGCTAATTTTTTGTGTTTTTAGGAGAGACAGGGTTTCACCATGTTAGCCAGGATGGTCTCGATTGCCTGACCTCGTGGTCCGCCCACCTCGGCCTCTCAAAGTGCTGGCATTACAGGTGTGAGCCACTGCGCCTGACCTCTATCCACATTTTATAACACCTCCTGTGTGTATTCGTGGTTGTAAACAATATATTATTTTTTGTGTTTTGAAAATTACTTAGATGTCTTTGTATTTATCATTCATTATTCTGTATTTTGGACTTATCCATGTTGTTACATGTAGATCAAGTTAATTCCTCTTAACACATGCTTAATATTCCAGAAGCAACTATATCATAATT